ACAGAACTAAAACCCCAAAGCAGACTGACTTCTAAGTGTAACTTCACTGATCTTATCTTGTTCCAGAGATTTTGGCCAGCTGGCTGTTGAACTCTTGGATCAGTCCTATAAACATGATGAGCAGATTGCCATGAAACTGCTGACATATGAACTGAAAAACTGGAGTAATTCTACCTGCCTGAAGTTGGCTGTGGCAGCTAAACACAGGGACTTCATTGCCCACACCTGCAGCCAGATGCTTCTGACAGACATGTGGATGGGGCGACTGCGCATGCGGAAAAACCCCGGCCTTAAGGTATTCCTGTTCTGCATCATTTCCAAAGAGAATTTGTTTCACTTACTTAGAGATGTTTTAAGAACATACCTGTTTTAAAGCTAATTTCTTTTGTTTCCAATTTCAGGATATCTAAGGCATGTTACACCATGACAAAGGAAAATATAACTCCATAAAACACTTAGCCTGATTGGAATCTGAGAGAGAAATTGTGTCTTTCAATAAAGCATGAGATCATGAGATTTGTTAATTGAGAACATACTCATTCTATTAAAAATTAGTTGTAGACAAGCAAAATATTTCCATTATGGGTCCATGCAATGGGAATAGAGATAAAATAAACCATATGTAGATGCGTGCTTCTTAAATTGCTTAATATCATACCAGTTGAGACTCAGTGTTGAAAAAGAGTGAAATCTGTGCAATTGCATTGTGTGAAACCATGTGATTTTATTTCCTGCTGCTGTGATTCTTACTGATTTTAATATTTCCTAATTGCTTGATTTAAAAAAAAAAACCAAGTAATGTGAGAGGGCTCTCACAGAAGAGAAACCATGAGTGAGTCAACACTAAGGAAGCAGAGCAGTGTTGGCTTGTGTGTGTTTTCATGTGAATAGAATCCTCTCTTTGTTGAGTTATGCAGTTGCTGTCACCCATATGGAGACCCATCCTGCTCACCTCCTTATTTCCTTAAATCCCCTTGACTGACAAAGTGCTGTATCTGTCTTCCCAGGTCAGAGTCCCAAGTTTGCTGACATATACATTGCACTGTCTCTGCCTTTCTCTTTTTATTTCCACTTTCCCATGTTTCCCTCTTAAACTTGTTTAAAATCTTCAGGTACTGCCTTTCAGATTGCATCATGGTACTTCCCAAATCTGTTTATTATTTTCATTTCTTTTCTCCAAAGAATGAATCAACTTCCTGATGTTTATTCTAGTTTTATTACCTGCCTTATTTTCTCTGCTCCTTTTCTGTACTTTGGCTTGTGTTTCTGTATCTAAGCAATCTCATATAGTAAGAGAATTTTCCCAGGGCTATCTGTGAAGATTCTTTTACCTTTCATAATTTTTTTAACTATTAAAACTAATTATAGTAGGAATCTGAAGTAACTATTAACTCCAGTAACAAACCTGAAGGCTTCTAACCACCACTGTGTCCATTCCATGGCATTTCTCTGCACACTAATTTTGGAGCACAGTTCTTAATTGCAGGGTATTTGTGGAGATGGGAGGCTTTCCAGGGTGCCATATTTCATTAAATACCTTATTGCCAATGCTTCTTAAGTACTTACTCATTTCTATTAGGCTTGAGGATGGCAGAATATCTTGAATACTGTACAAAGGAAAATTCTGGGTTGAGACCTATCTTGTTACAAAATCCATAATATAAACCAATATTGAGTTGAATTCTTTCTTGTTCACAGGTTATAATGGGAATTCTCTTCCCTCCCACCATCCTTTTCCTGGAGTATCGCAGTTATGATGACTATTCCTACCAGACATCGAAAGAAAATGAGGAAGGCAAAGAAAAAGAAGAAGAAAATGCGGTCAGTAATTGAGATTATTAGAAAGTTCTAATATCTCAGGACTGCTCATTTTTTTGATTGTTCTGATTATTCTGTAGCTCACTCAGGTTAAAATCTCAACTGTCTCTGGGGGATAAAATGAGTCTCCCAATTATGGGAGGGTATAGACTGGATTCTCAGGGCACAGGGCATCTGTGTAGTTCCACAGATTTGCAGAATTCTATTTATATACTTTTAAAAAGAAGTCTGTTGCTCAGGGGAATCCCTGCATAGTTAACAGTTGGCTGGGGCTGTGGTTGAGGAAAGCTAGTATTTTTACTGCTGTGTATGATGGAATCTGACAGCTTTGGTCTTCCAGGATGCAAATGCAGATACAGGCTCCCGAAAAGGGGATGAAGAGAATGGAAAGAAAAAACAACAGAGCCTTCCAATTGGAACAAAGATCTATGAATTCTATAATGCACCTATTGTCAAATTTTGGTTCTACACAGTAAGTCATGATTATTAAACTGATAGTTATAATTTTTCTCACACCTGTGAAGCTGGAAGCATTTCAATGTAAAAGTAATAACCATGTAATAAATAAATATTTTACTTACTTTTGTGGAATCTGATGAGTAAAGCACTCTCTTTATTCAGAGGAGAATGCACAGACAGCGAAACAGAATGGATAACTGAAGCTTACATTGTCAGTCTCTAAAGCTCCTACATCCTGTGAAGGAAGCTCTGTGTGGAATACAAACTAAGTGCAAGCTCCACAATCCAGTCACTCAATCCAAACTAGGCTGAGTTCTCTTGCTTTCTAAAGGGCCTGGCTCCTGTCCTTCATTGAAATGTCCTTTAGGACCCAAGAAGTAACCCCATGGTATCATTGTCATTTGCTCTGTTGCTCAGATGGGTGCAGCCTAGATGGGAGCACAGATCCCAGTCTGCTAAGACTTCATAGGTACTTTTCTTAAAACAGTTAAAACCAATCAAAACTAAAATATTTATTTTTGACAAGCATCTAATTTTCTGTTTATTGCATCAAGAATTATCTGGTGTTAAACTCTTATAATAAAACAGAACATCTATTTACTGCTCATAAATTAAGTGTGTGCCCTGTAAAAGGGACACTGGTTTCTAATGTGTTCAAGATCAGGATGCCTGATGCCTGATAAGTCATAGTAATATGCAGATCTTTAGTTTTAGTACATTTTAATCACAAACCACTATATTAATAATTTAAAAGCAAAATTCCTATTTAATTTCAAAGAAAAGTGTTCAACATGTTTTTACAGTGCAAAGAAATTACATTTTAGTAGACTAAAAAAGCCCCAGGCATAAAGGGCCTGGTTTAGAGTACTTTAGAATTGCTGGTTTTCTTCTTTCAGCAGATGAGATAATTCAGCTGTCTGGATCATATGTTTCACAGCCTCTGGGCTTCCTTTAGGTGCTGGAGGCCTGTGGCTGTGCCAGTGTGGAGGGCTTTGCAGCAGACCTGCTTCCTGCAGAGAAGGAAATATTTTTTCTTGTGCAAGTAAGGGTCTTCAGCAGCTGAATATTTCACACTTTGCCTCAACACACAGGTTCATATGATTGTCCTAATTAGCACAGTTGTTAGGGAACTGAGTAAAGGGGGCTTTGCTTTCATGCATTATCAAGCCCCTTACCTAAGAGGATTTGCCTGCCTTCTGTCTGATGTTTCTTCTGTGGTGATGCAGCCTTCTCTGCTCTTACTGAATTAGGCTTCAGCAAGAAACTTGCTGCTGAGACTGGGAGCTGCTTAAAGTAACCAAAACACCTGCAAACCTACTGTCCATGCAGATGGATTTAAGTAACAAGTGTAGGAAGAGGGACTGAGAAATGAAGTTTGTGTGCCTCTGGCTTCAGGTGAAGAGTGTATTCTTCCCAGATGGGCTCAATCACATGATTGCAGAGTGGAGAAAGCTAGTGGGCTGTGTGGCTCTTTATTTGCCCTAGTCCTTAAGGCAGGTGTTGCTCACAGCTTTGCTCCCTATTCTGCCTTACATCTGCCTTGAGATGGTGAGTAAAGATTTCACACTGAAAATTCCATTCTTTAGAAGACTTCATTTTCTCCCTGAAGTATCTTTTGGTTTGTTACTCTTTTGCTTCTAAGTTTTTTTTTCCTCTTTAAAGTCATTGAATCCATTTTCATTTTTGATCTCTGGATTCCTAAGGTCTCAGAATTTTTTAGTTTGGCTGGTCACCAAAGGCTGCTGTGCGCTTGGAGATACCAGCACCAGCAGTTTGACATTTACATGAGTGGTTATAGAAAACTGAGTTTTAGCTCTTTTGGCTTACACTACCAATCCAGGACTTTGTAATGGAAATTAGTGGAGACTGGGGTTTTTTTGTGTGTGCAAGTCATCTCAAGTAATTGAATACTGCCTAATTTGGAAGGATCCTAGGATACATCATCTAGAGTCCATAAAGAATTTTCCTCTTTTTTGGCAGATATCGTACCTTGGTTACTTGATGTTATTTAATTACATCATCTTGGTGCGGATGGAACGGTGGCCATCAGTCCAGGAATGGATTGTCATCTCCTACATTGTGACACTGGCTTTGGAGAAAGTCAGAGAGGTAAAGTCTGCCCATACCAACATCTCATAGTCCTTAGAACAAAGCTTGCTTTTAGAGATTTTAATGGCATGGACTTGTGCACAGGGTTGAGAGGTCACACAGTAAAGAGAAGAGTCTCATATTCTAAATATACTAATAATTAAAAATATTCTTGCTTGAAACAAATTTTGCTGACAGTGGAGGGGCCTCAGACACCTGTTGAATATTACAAGATTGGTCTTTTTTCATGGCCATTACTTCAAAAATGTAACTTGGAAGTTTTTTAATTGTTTTTTTTGTTGTATGTTCATTTGTTTGTTTTTTATTTCAGATTCTAATGTCAGAGCCTGGCAAGCTGAGCCAAAAAATCAAAGTTTGGCTCCAGGAATACTGGAATATTACTGACCTGGTGGCTATTTCAGTATTTATAATAGGAGCAGTTCTTCGCCTGCAGAACCAGCCTTACATGGGTTATGGAAGAGTGATTTACTGTGTAGATATCATTTTCTGGTACATTAGAGTACTAGATATCTTTGGTGTGAACAAATATCTGGGACCTTACGTCATGATGATTGGAAAGATGGTTAGTGCCTAAATTACTATAAATTATGTCTTTAAGAACTAAAGTGGGAAACTAAATTCTATTCTGCATTAAAAAGAAGTTTTCTATCAAGTAGGACCGAATACAGCCTGTGAAAAGTTGTTGTATGAATTTCATGCACACACACAAGAAGTTATACTCAAGCAATAACAGATTACAGGTACACCAGCATTACACCCATCAGCTGTGCACAGGAGATGGTACAGATGATTGTTACATCATCTCTTTGCAGCCACACAGGAGGTCTGTGCTGAAAGCACAGTATACTGCATTTGATGCAAAGGAGAACTGGGATAGCAAAGATTTTAGCATTTTAAGTATTTTCAAATATAATCTGGTATGCCTTTAAGTAACTGCTTTCTCTGCATTTGTGTGTATGTTTAATACCTGAGTGGTACTTAAAGCACGATGTCAAGAAGATTCTCGTGCTATTTTCTTGTAATGCATGCTGCTGCTGCTGCCACTGTGCTCCCTGGTGGTGCTGAGAGCCTCTCTGCTCTCCATGCAGATGATTGACATGCTGTACTTTGTGGTCATCATGCTTGTGGTTCTGATGAGCTTTGGAGTGGCCCGCCAGGCTATCCTGCACCCAGACGAGGAGCCCTCCTGGAGACTGGCTCGCAACATCTTCTACATGCCCTACTGGATGATCTACGGAGAGGTGTTCGCTGACCAGATAGACCGTAAGAGTAGAATTCATAGTAAGAGTCTGTTTCCTGTTTCTGAGGCAGATGATCAGATCCAAATTAAAGATTGCTTTTAATTTGGAAGTAGTGTTTTTGCTTTATGATGATATTCTTGTTGTTTTCCTGTGGCAGACCTGAGACTGAGCAATTTTCTCTTCCCCACCTGCATGTCTGCTCTTGTGGTTTATATTCAGTTCAGTTAACACAGAAAGGGATGTAGTCTGGAATATTCTCCTGTCCAAGAGTATGGCAGTGTGAAGTGTTCTGTTTACTTGCAGGGATCAACAGAGATCATTCTGAAATGTTCTTTTCATTCAAAGGTTTACTAAGAGTCAGTTCTAACAGAAGAAGAAAAGAAATAAATCCCTTGCACAGGGAGGTTAAAATACACATATCCTTTCATCTCCAACTCACAAGCAATGAGCTCATACATTTTTACTCCTAGTCATACATCTGTCTGCTTTCAGAAACATCTTCATTTCATGAGTCACTCATGTTGTTCTTTCTATACCTATGGGAAAACAAAACAAAAAAGCGATCTCCACTTGATTAGCTTTGGATGTGTAAATAGCCTTTCTTACAAGAATCCTGCACACTTAAAAAAATACCTGTCAGTATTTTAAAGGAGGTGTAAGCTGTCATATTACTGCTAATTTTGTGTTAATATTTGAAATTTGTATGACAGTCCAATGTGCAGCTGGCCTCCTCTAGTGTGTAGTTTGCACTTTATCTGAAACAATACAAGCTGCTGTTTCAGCTTTGTGTATGTGTTACTTCAGTCACCTGCATATATTGATAGGTAGGGAAGTGGAAGGCTGAAGAACATGAAGGTCTTAAGTTCAAAAACCATTAAGATTCATCATCATGAGAAGCTTTTATTCTAAGTGTCATTTAAGTGTACTTTAGCTGTTTAGCAAGGAATAAAGTGTCATTAGTCTGTTTCTGAACAGTGTACAATGAGATCAGCTTTGTTTTCCTAATGAATGCTTGTTTAATTAATGTAACTTAGTGTACAGTAAGTTACACTTGACAAGTGAAAGGTCAAGCCAGTCATCTACTGTCTGATACTGCAGTTTTGGTGCACATGAGAGATCCTGGGCTTATCCTGGTTCAAAAGTGGGACAGCTCTCCCATGGAGAGGAAGTGACTGTAATGGGCTATCCCTTATCTCATGTTCAGTTTGAACACAGCATACTTGCCAGTGTGGACAGTTTGATTTCCTTACAAATCAAAATTCAAACCTTACCAGCCATCTCTTTAGTGTAAGAGGTGTCCCAGGCTTCTCTCATGTGTCCAGTCATTTCTCAGTCATATACTCAGCATGCTTTGGATTGGAAATCTTTCTTCAGCAGTGCAAAAGATTTGAGGGTCAAAAGGTTTGGGCTTTCTGGTTGTACAAGTTCAGCTACTTGGTCCTTCCCAGATCAGAAGCTTTGCAGTGTTAGTAGCCTAAGCATAAACTAACCTGGAAATGTGTGGGTTTATGTTGTTTTAATAATAAAATAATTTGCCTATGCAAGGCATTCTTCTACACTGCCTTACATTTGTTCTGCACATTTCTGCTGTGTAGAAGTCTATGGACTGACTCCCAAAGATCTTTTTGCTTTCAATAAGAAATGTTCACTCTAATGTGTCTGTGGTTCCCTGTAAACACACCACAAAAGCAGCCTCAGAAGTCACTGGGGAGTTATGGCTATGGGCAGTCTAATATGACTCTGACTCAAGAGCTAATAGGTGGTTTTGGCAAGGTCCAGGGGTATAAACAATTTATGGAAAAAGTATTTCATCAAGTTTTACCTCTGAAAGAAGGTAGTTGGACTTTGTTGGTAGCTTCTCCGAGGATACAGAGAATCCTATAGATTCATCTGGAGTTCACAAGTCACAGAATTTGCTGGGCTTGAAAGGTACCTTTGGAGATCATCCAGTTGAACTTTCCTGTTCAAAACAGGATAAATTAGATTTATCCCAGATTGCTTAGGGACTGTACAGTGATGTTTACAGTGTCTTGAAGGATGAAGAAACTGCTGCTTCTCTGGCCAACCCAGTTTAAATGGAATTGCCCATCTTTCCACCTTTGCCCACTGCTGCTTCTCCTTTCACTGAGAAGAGTCTGGCCCTGTATTCTTTTCTCTCACACATCATCAGGTATTTATAACATTGGTAAGATCTCCTTTACCATCTCTAGACTAAATTATCCCAGCTTTCTCAGTCTTATCTCATTTGTCAGATAGTGCAATCTCCTTAGTAATCCCAGTGGCCCATGACTGGACTATTCTGATGTGCCCATGCCTGATTTCCATGGGGGAGCTGAGAGCCACACACACAAGTCTAGACGTGGTTTCAGCAGAGCTGAGTAGAGGCAAATAATTACCTCTCTTAATGTGCTGGTAACAATTTCCTTAATGCTCCCCAGGAAGCTCTTGTGTGGTTCACTCTCTTTACAAGATGAGCAAGAAGTTATCAGCATCTTGTACTCAACAGCATCACATTCTTAAACAATAAAGAAGTTATTCTTGAGTTTCTTTCAATAGTGTGACTTTTCTTACCAGCATTTAGGAATTGGCAGGCAGGTATCCAGAGTGGTAGTCAAAATGGGCATTAATGATACTGATGTTATTACAGTGTAAGATAGCATGCCTATTAATGGAAATGTGGCTATTCAAAAGAAACAGCTGACAGATTCAAAGCCAGGGTGGTTTAACAAAAAAAGAAAAAAAAAAAAAAAAAAAAAAAAAAAAAAAAAAAAAAAAAA